ATATATATATATATATATAGTATTCTTTAACGGTTGTATTCGTCATTAACATTGAACATTTTTATTAGATATAAAAAATCCGAAAGCAGATGCCACGAGGATACATTGACCGGCCAATCGAAATTTCTGAAGGTCGGTAGACACAATATTGAACATATTCCTCTGTAGGCGCATTTGACATCCTCGACGTGGGATGACGACTGGACTTTCAGCACATCAACGCGACAATCAGAATGATAGCTCTTTCTCTCCTCTATTCCGGCCGTTTTCTCTCGTCGCGCATCTATGGAAAATCCGGGAAAGCAATAATTGCGACGAAAGACGAGGAATGTTTTCTTTTGCGGGCGGGCGCACGAAATGCATAGGGCGAGGGCGCTCTCGGATATCTATATAGGTGGAGAGAGGGAGAGAGAGAGAGAGAGAGAGAGAGAGAGAGAGAGAGAGAGGAGAGGAAGCGAAGGGAGAAGCGAGAAGGGATGAAAAGGAAGGAGACGAAGAGAAGGGAATTCGTGCTGGAATAACATTGGGTGACTGTGGTATTGTCAACCCCTGTCGCGTTGCTCTCGTGTTCCTCTTATTTCTTTCCCCGGTTCTCTCTATTTGTCCGTCTCTTTCCCACCCTCTTCACTGCCGCCCACCCTTTCCGTTACCTTCAGCGTCCCTTTCCGTTCTGTGTCTCTCCCTCTCTCTCTCTCTCTCTCTCTCTCTCTCTCTCTCTCTCTCTCTTTCTCTCTCTAGTTCTGGTCTCGCTTTCTCCAGTTCTACCTATCCTAGCCACGGCTTAGTTAGACGCTGGAATATAGTAGAGCAGAGAATAGACGGTTGCTGGGAGGGGTGAAACAACACCCCGTTCCCACCGGCTACCCCTCCGACTCCACCTCTTGCTCTTCCCTTCGCTCCCTCCTTCTCTCTCTCTCTCTCTCTCTCTTTCTCTCTGCCTCTTCTCTTTCCTCCTTCTCCTTTATCCGTTCCCTAAACGCGGCCAATAAAAACAACACTACGTCGACGTGGCGAGGGGATGTACGGGGGTTGCGGTGAATTATAAAAATAACACTGCCAACCAACCCCCCCCTGCCACCTCCCCCTCTTCGATCGAACAATCGCTGGATCTCTCGCGCGGGCCGTTGACGCTGACGTCGCCGACGTTTTGTCGTTTTGGAGCTGTGAAAAGTTCGAGACCCACCTCGTACTTTTTCTCCTCTTTTTCTCTTATCTTCTCTCTCTCTCTCTCTCTCTCTCTCTCTCTCTCTCCCTCTCTTTTCCTTCCTTTTTATCTCGTCTGCCTTTCATCCGGGATTCTCTCGGAGTCGCGGTTGTTCGGATACAAGCGACTACATATGGTGGCTATGTACGCTTAATTGGGAGCAGCGCGCGTACGTCCTTATTTTTCTTCAAATTGCACGACGACCATGTTTTTCTTTTGCGAGTGTTCACTTACGTAAACCGGCGTTCCTGGGCAACTTCCGATAACCGCTTCCCGCGTTTTTTGCGCTGCGCGTTACCGGAGCTCTGATCGGAATTAAAACCCCCTGCCATTAACGGAATAATTTAATCTCATTTCTTCACTTGTTATGGAAATTTATCACTGACGTTTTACGAACATTTTCACCGTTGTACTCCATCGTCACGCGTAAGTGAACGCGCGGACTGTTCGCTTAGTTAGCAATTATCGGGCGTAAATAGTGATAATTAAAAATTTTGATACGATTATAAATCTATCACAGCAATTGTTAAGATTGATCATTACATCATTTCATGTGCTTCATTAAGCCTTCGTTATAAATAGCCTTTTATTTTATTTAATATATTTTCAAAGCGGTATTAATCGTGCAACGTACAAGAATTTTTTATGTGCTACTAGCATTTAAATTCGTCGAGATGTTTGGTATTAAAACAATAATTATGTAATCCAAATTGATTCAACGTTCTATTAGGCTTTCTCATTAAATTAAATTTTTATTTATTACTCAACCTCGATTGGATTATCCAACTTTACATAAATTTTTGTATAATGTTAAAATGAGGATTATTTCCTTACAAAGTTTTCATTTAAGTTTCCATTCTCCGTAAAGAAAAAGTAATAATTCAGCCAATTTGCAAATATGTATATCATTTATTCGACCTCTCGTTTTATCTCTGACATTTTCCTTTCCTTCCCTTTTCGCTTCAATTCGCATTGCATGTAAAACTAGAAAATGTGTCGTGTTTCTTCGGAGAAAAGGGACGCGGAGAGTGGAATCGACGCAATCGAGGCGCAGATGAGCGAATTCTCGAGTCCGACGTAGTAATATTCGCGAAAGATGACATGAATGAAACGACGATGTCGACGCTCGTCTTGCAGCCGCTCGTAACTGTCCCATTACGGGGTCGTCGTGAAATCATATTTCGCGCATCTTGCCTCGCATTTTCTCTCCGTTTTCTTACCTTTCTCACCGTTCTCTTTTCTCCTTCTTCTTGACTCCTTTACTTGCGTGCCTCGCGCGAACGCCTGGGTCGGCACGGCGCGAGGCGCAGAGTCAAAGGGAGATAAAATCTATAAATATGTGGGAGGCGCACGCGACCCATTCCAGTGTTTGTTCAACCAGGAATAACCTCCGCGTTTCTTCATCGCACGCGAGCGAACGGGCGCGCCCCGGAACCCCGTACCAAGAGAGGCTCTGGTTTTGCGGCTTGACGCAGAGGCCTTAATCTCGGGGTGATGCTTCACTAACTATCGTCCACGGCCAGCTTTCGGCTGACCTTACGACGATCTGATTTACGCGAACTGCACCCGAATCGCATCATCGAAAATCAAGGTGATCTCGCGCCAATTAAACAATCTACTTGCGCTCGTTGCATTGAAATTTGAACGTTACCGCCATAGAGAAGTGCGAGTTTAGTCCAAAATAAACTGCATCTCTTGCGTTAAGTCGAATAATTTTAATTTTTTTTTTTTATTAGTCGTATCGTTGTGAATAGAAGAAAATTAATTCTAATAGATAAAAGGAATTAGAAAAATAAACTCGATGTGTGTTATTAATTTTGATTTAAGAAATGTGCACATATTTTTGTTTCCTTCGTGATAATCCAGGATTGATAATGTACTCGTAATGATAAGTTGGAAAAGATTGTTATCAATACGTGGAACGTTCATAAATTGAAAGAGATTCATGTAGACATACATGTATACTCTTTACTTTGCAAACGCAGTATAGTTGGCCATCGGAAAATTACGAGTCGAAAAATACGACTCAAAACTTTTCGAATCTGTGAAGCAGCGAACCAAAAAAGTTCTTTTTTATGTGATTGATCACTTCTTTTGATTGATAGTTTCAACAAGTGAAATAAAAGGAGCAGCGTCTTCCGGAACTCAGTACAATTAAATGTAGCGATCGTTCTCTTGGAATTTTGACCATTTGTCGACGATGGCAGAGAACGTGGTTTCCGCTGTGGAAAGTTAGTCAGACGGTAGCACGAACGAGTTAGTTAATTAGTTAGTTATAGTAGTGAGCGTACCTCATCAATCTTCCTCGAACGTCGGCGCGCGATGCACTATCCAAAATATCCGCAACACGTGTATCCATTAAAATAGTAGATGCTGTGCACCGCGGAAGTACCCATGCTGCACGTTTTGCCGAGAAAACAGAAGGAATCTTGAAAAAGAAAACAAAAAAAGGTCTTGAATTTTCATCCTACAATTTTCTATTGTGCTTGTAGAAGTTTGGAACACAAGCGTTTTAAATTTAGTTAAAATAGAGTTCTGACATAAAGGTAGATACTTTTCGTTAATATCTTATACTTTCGTATTTCATTTGTTGAATAATTAATGAGGATAAATTTAAGCGTAATGCAATTTCGGTGAAATGTTGTGCTATGGCATAATAAACACTCAAGTTGGCAAATTGTATCAATAAAATAATCTGATTTATGCGTAGCAGAGTAATTAATGAATCGAATATGATATGCAAATTGTATTGTTCGACCATCGTACATTTCGAATCCGGAATTTAAGAGTAGATAACACCTCGTCCATCTATATACACATAATAATGTATTGTATAAGTCGAAAAGCATTTCCAAAATATCTTGATTTCTTCTTGCTGCTAAAAATATAGATTCCCTTAGTGAAGAAAATTTGATCCATTAATTACTCAAGTAAATTTTGTAATTTAATTTTTCATATTCACTCTTCTTCGAATGAAAAATTAAATCGTCAATTATACGATGTTGGAGTAAAAGCTA